CCCCAAAACCCCAAAACCCCAAAACCCCATTCTTCAAAGTAATAATCCATAATAAATTAAGTATAAATAAATCAATCAATTTTCAAATCGCTCTATGATTTCTCAACGATGTTATCTGCATAAAGCTAAGATCTCTAAAATATTCTATCCTCTTTAATATTCTTTATATTTCTGAATTACATAAAAAATGAAACTACAATAAGAGCAATCATTAATAGAACAATAAGAGTCAGTGTCCCTGAAATATTTCCACCAACCGAATTGGGATTTTCAACTTTAATTTCGATGAAAAATGTCTGATAAGCAATTTAATTTAGATCATCAATAGCTATTAACTAAAATTAGTGTCTACCAATCTAGGTGTAATTAGTTAGGTCAAAAGCAACTAAAGATCTATTATTACTAAACCAACTAAGCCCTTTCAATTGAATATTATCATATTAGACTCTCCCAATCATTTATTTAAGAGCATATCTTAGTGAGGTTTGAGATTCATTATCACTAAATAAATCTAATGGCATCTAGTATACTTAGAACCTGTTGAATAGGAATGTGAGATTTTAAGCAGTTTTATTTATCTTTGGAATAAAGTTTCTGTTTACTAAAATCTATACATTTCTCCTATTAATTGTAATCTATGAATCTTAAGCCATAAAGCCAAAAGTAAATGTAGAGCTATTGCCTAGTGAAGTATTTATAGTAGGAGCGATTCCACTTAAGGTTTAACTTAGAGGACTAAACATTGCCCATGTGCTTTTATCCTGAGTATTTTAAAGTATGCCATAAGACATAGCATCCAACGAGTCCAAGTCTTTAAAACTCTATGGTAAATCTATACTGAAAACTTAGCCCTCATTAAAGGAATATCTTAACGTGCTTGAATCAGTTAATTAAGGTCTAGAATTTAGGTTATAATAAAGTATAGACTTACTTGGTGTTTTCAATAACAATGATTTTCAAATCTGAGTAAGCTGATGCTCCATAGTTATCTGTGGCTGTAAATCTCACAGTGTAATTTTAAGTAAACTAAGGCTTTCCTGTGATTGTCTTTTTCCTTCCATTTGTAAATTAAATCCAGTTGTATTCTGTAACCTAGGAATAAGATATCGCTATTTAGAGATTTTAGTTAGTGTCAAAGTCAAAGAACCAGTTATCATCTAGTTAAAATGTAAAACTCTCGAACACATAGCTGGTTTAATCAGGTAATTTTAAGCTCTTTGATTATGGTGAGCCATTTAATATAATGTTAGCATACAGACTCACAGATGTCATACAGATATCATAGCCAGTTAGTTTCAAATAATAGCTTCCAGAATACTAGAATTATGCATTTATCATTAATTCTCCAATTGTAGAGTTAAATTTAAAAATCTCGTTATTCATTATAGAACCATCAAAGTTACTCGCAGAGTATGTTGCTACCTGCTGAAAGCATTTTGAAAACCCTAAATAATAGACACCAGCAGGCTCATTATCTAAATATTTATAAAGTATATTTGTGCATGATGAGTTAGTTGTATCAATCTTTGGACTAAACTCTAAAGATGTCACTTTTAATTGAGTTCTTGCTGAGTAAAAACCATCTGACGCTAGTAGCTAAACAGTGCATTATCCTATGCTTGGAGCTATTGACTTATCCTAATAAAATACCATACCGTTGCTTGTAAACTTTATATAAGCAGGGCAACTGCCTTAATTGGCTATTTCACTCATTGAAATATCCAGTTGTTAGCCATCTGGATCTTAGAAAATCTATGGCAGCTCATATCTGAATTATTAATTCAGTTTATCTTTATACACACAAATATCCTTTGGTTGGCTGATTACATAAGGTCTGCTATTTTAGACTTTAATTGTGAAGTAAATTGTAGCATTAGATCTCTGAGGATCATAGCAGACTACTGATATATTCACGATCTATTCATAAGTAGGGTATCCAAGTAAAGTATTATTACTAGGAAAGAACCTTAGCCAACTAGGAAGGCTGCTATAATCAAAGTTTAAAGCTTCAAGAGTGATAACTTCACTAACTTGATATGTAAATAGTATATTAGGAGTTAGTGTTAGTGTAAAAAACTTATTAACGTAGATGCTTTAGGTTGGAATGATTCCGTAAGCCATTGGATAGTCATCTTCAACATATATGTAAAACTATGTCTAAGCAGAGTAAACAGGAGTCGTAGAAAGTGTTTTAAGCATTTTGATAAAATAAATGCCAGCATTAGTAAAATATCCAGTTAGCTTTTGATTAGTTGTGTCGAAAGTCACTGTAGCGGGTAAAGAGTCCCCATTAAAAAGTTTAGCTTCAGTCCAAAGCTAAACTGAATTAACATAACACAGATTCTCAATAGAATAATCATCATCAAAATCAAGGCTAAAAGCTTACCCTGCTTTAACCCATTTATCTGGGATATTCGGTATGCTTGTTGGGGTTGAGCATTAACTAAAAAGATAGTAATCTTAATTTCTTACCCAACCTTGAGTTGTATAAGCAGAAGTTTTATCATCAGAGGCAATATTTGAATGAGTATATAAAGTTTAACCAGCTATTGTAAAACATAATGGATCTGAAACTAGCTCAATTCTAGCTTTTATGTCTGTATAGACAGGAACTGATCGATCATAAAAGCAGTTATTGTCAGCTAATGATGAGTCTATCTTCATTAGGAATATTGATGTCCAAGAGCTATATGATAGGACAGGGCCATCAGTAGATGTGGATCTTCCAACAAGGCTTATATGTCCCATTTTACTAACAGATATTCCGTTAAAAATATCCACACCACTACCCCCAAAAGCTTTGAATGCAATTTTAGACCCATCACTGCTTTTCTAAGAAGCAATAAAAAAATCGTAATCACTAGAGTATCTGTAATTAGAACTTTATACTGTACCAGTTGAATATATAATTTCATAATTGTCAGAGCTAGCAATATCAAATAAAAGATCTTAACTAGATCCTCCTGTAGATACTGCCCATTAAAGAGCACCAGCTGCACTTATTTTTATCATAGTGATATCGCATTCTGTTGTAGTTGTAGAGTACATTTTCAATGCTGAGGCCCTAATACAGCCAGATGAAATGACTGAGTTATCTCCTAAAACTAAGACATTATCAGACTCATCATTTCCATCATTTGATTTGATATATACATACCATTCAATATCCAAATTCAGATTCAATTTCATTACTGCTGATGAAAAGTAAGAAGGAGAGATGCTACTATATACGTTCTTGATGGAGTGATCGAAGTACATTGATCTCTGATCTGGTGCTATTTGAAATCCATTTACCTAGAAATAGTTAAAAGCAGTCCCTTAAGTGTCTCTTTAGTCATACCCTTAAGTTGCTGTGCCCTTCGCCATCAAAATTTAACCATCTTATGCCCTCATCTTAACTATTCGAGTGTTGACAGTACCTTAAACCATATAAAACGATCTGAAGATTATGTATCTACAAATTGTTTTAGAATAAGAAGTATTTACAGGAATTAACTATCCTCGGTGATGTCTGCTCCACTCAAGATATCTTTTTATGTAGCTACACCACTTGTGTAGATATTCTTAACATATACAAGTTTTTGAGTGGAATGAAATTTGGCAACATACACAGCTGTCTGTCCTGATGTATGAGCAACCTAGGAATTAGTGGAGTATCCTAAAGAATACACAAAGCTCCTAGTGCATAAAGTTTTGTAAAATGGAATCATATTTGTATTGGTATCATCGGTGTTTCTGATAAACCAGTCAATGTTGCCATCATAAGAAACCTTCATTAAAAATCCTGCATTGATCCCATCGATTATGTTTCCTGTTGCATAAGTACTATCATCGGGGTCCATGCAGCTATCCCAAACTTCTAAGTTATAGTTACTATTTGGAGAGCTGAGATAGAAGCCATATTTGTGATTATCAGGGCAGCTATCACTAGTTTACCTTGAAAATACTCTTATTTTTATAAGTGAAAATATGGCAAAGCAGATAAGCATAGTTTTGTTTAAAGACATTATTCCTATCTATTTATAAACAAATATTATGAATTTAATTTCATTCTCCTTTTATTTTTATAGTGTCTAAATTTTGAGGTTTATCAGCTACTCGGGGTTTTGGGGTTTTGGGGAGA